TGAACATGTATTAAAAAAAAAAAGAAAGAGGCAAACCAAAAAACAGACTGTTAACTATAGAGAACAAACAGATGGTTACTGGAATTGAGGTGTGTGGGTCAATGGGTTAAATAGGTGACGAGTATTAAAGAAGGCACTTTTTGTGATGAGCACTGGATGTTGTATGTAAGTGATGTATCACTAAATTCTACACCTGAAAGTAATATTGCACTCCATGTTAACTAGCTGGAATTTAAATAAAAGCTTGGAAAAAATATACCTTGATACAAGTGAAGTGGAAGCACAACATACCTAAATATATGGGATTCCACAATAGCAGTTCTTAGAGGGAATTTCATGCGAATAGAGGTTAATTTCAATATTTCAATTATTCTCAAGTAAATAATCTAACTGTACACCTCAACTCATTAGAAAAATTAAAAAAATGGAGCCCAAAGTTAATTGAATAAAGGAAATAACAGAGATCAAAATGAAATAAGTGACTAAAGGGACAATTGAAACAATCAACAAAATTGAGAACTTGTTCTTAGAAAAGATAAACAAAATTGACAAACATTTAGCTAGACTCACCCAGAAAAGAGAAAGAACATGAGTAAATAAAAATCAGAAATGAAACAAGATACCTTAATACTGATAACATCAAAATACAAAGAATCATAAGAGACTACTATAAAAATTATATGCTGACAAATTGCACAATCTAGAGCAAAATGGATAAATTCCTAGAAATATATACTTTCCAAGACTAAATCATGAGGAAATAGATCTGAAGACCTATTACTAGTTAGGAGATTGAATGAGTAATCAAACACTTTTTGACAAATAAAAGTGCAAGAGGATCAGATGGCTTCACAGTTAAACTATAAGAAACATTGAAATAGTTAATACTAATCTCTATCAAATTCTTCTAAAAAATAGAAGATGAAAGAATGATTCCAAACCTATTTTAAGAAGCCAGCATTACCATTATAACAAAACCAGACAAGGACATCCACAATAAAAGAAAATTAGAGGCCAATATCCATGATAAACCTAGGGAAAAAAACCCTAAATATTAGCAAATTGAATTCATCATTACATTAAAAATCACCATGCAACATGGTCAAGTGGGGTTCAATATGGGGATCCAACAACGGTTTAACATCCATTAATTAATTAATGCAATATACCATTTTAATAAAATGAAGGATGAAGAACATACAATCATCTTAATATATGCACAAAATGTATTTTACAAAATTCAACATCTATTTATGATAAAAGTTTTCAGCAAAGTGGGTATAGGGAGAACATACCACATAATAAAGGCCATATATTTAAGTCCATAGCTATCATATTCAAGGGTGAAAATCTTAAACCCTTTCCTCTGAGATCAGGAGCAAGAGTAGGATGCCTATTATTGTCACTTTTACTCATCATAACATGGGAAGTCCTAGCTAAACAATTAGGAAAGAAAATAAATAATATGGATCAAATTGGAAAAGAAGAAATAAAATTTGCACTATTTGCAGATTACCTGATTTTATATATAGAAAATACTAGACTCAACCATAAAGTTTAGAACTAATAAATGAATTTAGTGAGGTTTCAATATACAATATCAATATACAGTAATATGTTGCATTACTACACACTAACAATGAACTATCAGATAAACAAATTAAGAAAAGAATCTCAAAAAAAAAAAAAGAAAAGAATCTCATTTACAATTGCATCAAAAGAATAAAATATGCAGGAATAAATTTAATCAATGAGTAAAAGACTTGTACACTGAAAACTATACAACTTTGATGAAAGTAATTGAAGACACAAAAAAATGGAAAGATATTCTGTGCTCAAGGATTGAAAGAAATAATATTGTTAAAATGTCAATATTAGCCAAAGAAATCTTCAGATTCATGTAAATTCTTATCAAAACTCAATGAGATTTTTTACAGAAATAAAACAAATAATTTAAAAATTGTGTGGAACAACAAACTACCCTAAATAGCCAATGAAATCTTGAGGATGAAAAACAAATCTGGAGGCATCATGCTTCCTGGCTTCAAATTTTATTACAAAGTTCTATTGTTTTACAAAGTATGGTATCAACATAAATACAGACATATAGACTAATGGGACAGAATTGAGAGCCAAAAAATAAACCAATGTATACATGGCCAATTAATTTACAACAAATAAGGCAAGGATATACAATGGGGAAATGTCAGCCTCTTCAATGAATGGTTATGGGAAAACTGGACAGCCACATGCAAAAGGATGAAACTAGACCACTATTCATACACTGAGATGGTATAGGCTTGTAGGCCCCTTGCAGGCCAGGGTCATTTGAGGACTGCACTGAGGTTAAGGTCGGCCAGGCAGGCCTAGGCCAGGAGGAGAAAATGTTCTCTTCCCCTTACCTCATGTTGCAAGGCCTAAATGCCTGGATCAGCAGGAAGTGGCTCTTGCCTAGCTTAAAGTGTATTTTTCTAATCAGAAGTGTTCTTTCTAAAGACAAAGAACATGTTGTCTCCAAAGGAAGGATGGCTAAGAGAATTCTTTATTCTGCAAGCATAAACAGGATGTATTTTGTTCTTATTGCATTTCGTGTATATTTCACTTCACAGATGTTGGCTTGATACATTGTTATGTTTATCTGATCTCTGCGAGTATATAGCTACGTGAGAAATAAACGGCAGTATGCAGTTGCAAGTGCTGCCTTTGCTCTGCATCCCCTGTGTCCTGGTGATTTCGTAAACCCTTACCCAGGGACCCCAACGCACTAGACGTTGACAATTGGCGCCCGAACAGGGACCCTGAAGGACGTATAGGAAGGGTGAGTAACTTAATTAAGTACAGGGTGATGGGACAAGAAACTTCTACTCCTTATGTTCGAATGCTGAAGCATTCACTTGCTGTCTATGGTATTACTGTCGCTTCTAATGATATTGAGCTGTGTTTGAAGGTTTTTCAGCAGGTTATGGCTATGGCAGAAGAGTCTAAGAAACCCTCTAGGAAGCCCTCTGCTCCGCCTTTGCCGTCTGCACCAGCTCTTTCTTCTAAAAATCCTTTCCTTTCTGCGGCTTTAGCTGAGCTTGATGCGCTAGAGGATAGCGATGATGAGGCTGACGCAGGTAATTCTGTCTTTGCTTTTCCTGTTATTAGGCCTCCCCCGGTCCAGGGAATGGCACAAGCACCATATTATGAAGGAATAGGTATAGAAGATATTGGTCGCTTGAAAAAGGCAGTGTCTTTATATGGACCACAATCACATTATGTTAAGGAGCTGGTCAATGGTCTGGCTCAACATTATAATAATTTTTCTCCTGAGGACTGGAGGGTCCTCTGTCGGGCTCTTTTAAAGGAGCCTGAATATCTGCAGTGGCAGATGTGGTTTTCTGAACTTTGTATGTATGTACATATGGTAATAGATACATATTCTCAATTTATATGGGCCACAGCACAAAGTGGCGAAACTGCACAACATGTTATCACCCATCTCTTAGAAACCTTTGCTGTCATGGGTTTACCATCTATTATTAAAACAGATAATGGACCTGCATATAGCAGTAAAAAATTTCAAACTTTCTGTGAACAATATGGTATCATGCATAAAACAGGCATTGAATACAATCCTCAAGGGCAAGCTATTGTAGAACGTACACATAATACCTTAAAGTTACAAATTAAAAAATTAAAAAGGAGGAAAAAGGATCATATTTTAGCATTCACTCAATCTAATGTGCGTTCTATTTTGCAACAAGCTCTGTTCACATTAAATTTCTTGAATCTTCCGCAGGGAGATATCCTCTCCCGTGCAGAGAAACAGTTCATAGAGGGAGAGGTCGCTCCCCCTCCATTAAATGAACATATATGGTTTAAACCAACCGCAGATGCAGAATGGCGACCGGGGCTATTGCTTTATAGAGGGAAGGGTTATGCTTATGTCTCCACAGAGGATGGACGGACCTGTTCCTGGCTCCCCGCGCGATGGATCCGGCCAAGGGCCAATTCGAACAGCACCATATCCCACCAGACGATGGATGGGGAATCCAGACCAAGATGAACTTCCATTACAGGCCATGGCACATCTGAATTTGGGAGGACGACATCGCCGTCGGCAGATATTTGCTACTGCTTTGCCGACTTGGGGGAAAATTAAAAAGCTTAGTGGGGAAGGGCAAAAAAAAATCCTGCAGCGAACAGGGAAGGCTTGTACGCCTGAAAATTTATTTTTGGCTATGTGTGCCTTGCTTACTGTATCAGATGCCGCTACGTTGGCCAATTTACTTCTTAAGCAACTTGAGGGACTAGATCCAAAAGGTATTATTCAGAGTTTGGGGCACACTGCTGGAGGAATGGGATTTGTATTGTTGATTGTTATCTTATGCTTTATGCTGTTGCATTTTTGCTATCTAAAGCCTTCCCAGAATTCTATGGCCATCCTTTGGAGGGCACTTTTATTAAAAAAAAAGAAAAAAGAGGGAATTGTGATGGTGTAGGCTTGTAAGCCCCTTGCAAACCAGGGTCATTTGAGGACTGCACTGAGGTTAAGGTCGGCCAGGCAGGCCTAGGCCAGGAGGAGAAAATGTTCTCTTCCCCTTACCTCATGTTGCAAGACCTAAATGCCTGGATCAGCAGGAAGTGGCTCTTGCCTAGCTCAAAGTGTATCTTTCTAAACAGAAGTGTTCTTTCTAAAGACAAAGAACATGTTGTCTCCAAAGGAAGGATGGCTAAGAGAATTCTTTATTCTGCAAGCATAAACAGGATGTATTTTGTTCTTATTGCATTTCGTGTATATTTCACTTCACAGATGTTGGCTTGATACATTGTTATGTTTATCTGATCTCTGCGAGTATATAGCTACCTGAGAAATAAACGGCAGTATGCAGTTGCAAGTGCTGCCTTTGCTCTGCATCCCCTGTGTCCTGGTGATTTCGTAGACCCTTACCCAGGGACCCCAACGCACTAGACGTTGACAATTGGCGCCCGAACAGGGACCCTGAAGGACGTACAGGAAGGGTGAGTAACTTAATTAAGTACAGGGTGATGGGACAAGAAACTTCTACTCCTTATGTTCGAATGCTGAAGCATTCACTTGCTGTCTATGGTATTACTGTCGTTTCTAATGATATTGAGCTGTGTTTGAAGGTTTTTCAGCAGGTTATGGCTATGACGGAGGAGTCTAAGAAACCCTCTAGGAAGCCCTCTGCTCCGCCTTTGCCGTCTGTACCAGCTCTTTCTTCTAAAAATCCTTTCCTTTCTGCGGCTTTAGCTGAGCTTGATGCGCTAGAGGATAGCGATGATGAGGCTGGCGCAGGTAATTCTGTCTTTGCTTTTCCTGTTATCAGGCCTCCCCCGGTCCAGGGAGTGGCACAAGCACCATATTATGAAGGAATAGGTATAGAGGATATTGGTCGCTTGAAAAAGGCAGTGTCTTTATATGGACCACAATCACATTATGTTAAGGAGCTAGTTAATGGTCTAGCTCGACATTATAATAATTCTTCTCCTGAGGACTGGAGGGTCCTCTGTCGAGCTCTTTTAAAGGAGCCTGAGTATCTGCAGTGGCAGATGTGGTTTTCTGAACTTTGTATGTATGTACATGTGGTAATGGATACATATTCTCAATTTATATGGGCCACAGCACAAAGTGGTGAAACCACACAGCATGTCATCTCTCATCTTCTAGAAACTTTTGCTGTGATGGGTTTACCATCTATTATTAAAACAGATAATGGACCTGCATATAGCAGTAAAAAATTTCAAACTTTCTGTAAACAATATGGTATAATGCACAAAACAGGCATTGAGTATAATCCTCAAGGGCAAGCTATTGTAGAACGTGCACACAATACTTTAAAGTTACAAATTAAAAAATTAAAAAGGAGGAAAAAGGACCATATTTTAGCATTCACTCAATCAAATGCATGTTCTATTTTGCAACAAGCTTTGTTCACATTAAATTTCTTGAATCTTCCGCAGGGAGATATCCTTTCCCGTGCAGAGAAACAGTTCATAGAGGGAGAGGTCGCTCCCCCTCCATTAAATGAACATATATGGTTTAAACCAACCGCAGATGCAGAATGGCAACCGGGGCTATTGCTTTGTAGAGGGAAGGGTTATGCTTATGTCTCCACAGAGGATGGACGGACCTGTTCCTGGCTCCCCGCGCGATGGATCCGGCCGAGGGCCAATTTGAACGGCACCATATCCCACCAGACGACGGATGGGGAGTCTAGACCAAGATGAACTTCCATTACAGGCCATGGCACATCTGAATTTGGGAGGACGACGTCACCGTCGGCAGATATTTGCTACTGCTTTGCCGACTTGGGGGCAAATTAAAAAGCTTAGTGCGGAGGGGCAAAAAATCCTGCAGCGAACGGGGAAGGCTTGTATGCCTGACAATTTATTCTTGGCTATGTGTGCCTTGCTTACTGTATCATCTTCTGCCGATTCAGAGTTTGGGGCATACCGCTGGAGGAATGGGATTTGTATTGCTGGTTGTTATCTTATGCTTTATGCTGTTGCATTTTTGCTATCTAAAGCTTTCCCAGAATTCTATGGCCATCCTTTGGAGGGCACTTTTATTAAAAAAAAAAGAAAAAAGAGGGAATTGAGATGGTATAGGCTTGTAGGCCCCTTGCAGGCCAGGGTCATTTGAGGACTGCACTGAGGTTAAGGTCGGCCAGGCAGGCCTAGGCCAGGAGGAGAAAATGTTCTCTTCCCCTTACCTCATGTTGCAAGGCCTAAATGCCTGGATCAGCAGGAAGTGGCTCTTGCCTAGCTTAAAGTGTATTTTTTCTAATCAGAAGTGTTCTTTCTAAAGACAAAGAACATGTTGTCTCCAAAGGAAGGATGGCTAAGAGAATTCTTTATTCTGCAAGCATAAACAGGATATATTTTGTTCTTATTGCATTTCGTGTATATTTCACTTCACAGATGTTGGCTTGATACATTGTTATGTTTATCTGATCTCTGCGAGTATATAGCTATGTGAGAAATAAACGGCAGTATGCAGTTGCAAGTGCTGCCTTTGCTCTGCATCCCCTGTGTCCTGGTGATTTCGTAGACCCTTACCCAGGGACCCCAACGCACTAGACATTGATAATACACCATACAAAAAAATTAAATCAAAATGAATTAAAGATTTGAACGTAACACCTGAAACCATGACTTCTACAATAAAATATACTTGGTAAGTATCTTGACACTAGTCTTGGCAATTAGTTTTTTGGATCTGACTCCAAAAGGAAATTTGAAGGTCTACACATAGAAAATATTTTTCATGCTATCAGGTTAAAGAATGTACACTATCATCATCATTTATTACAATTTCAGAATAATTTATTCTTGGTTTGATTGGTAACAGGGATGGAGGTTAGGTATTTGGGTTGTAATGTCAATATTGGCTGAACAAAATTGCCTGTTGGGCCTCAGCATTTGCCATTGAAACAGTGGCTTACTTTGAGGGTTTGGGCCTTCAGATTGTAAACCAAGGAAAAGACTTAGACCAATAGTAATTAGACTAACAGGACAGAATGACATGCAGCTGCGATCTGGCCTCCAGTCCTTATGGTATGGGGAAAAAATAGAAAATTTTACTCATAGTAGAACATCTTTCAAAATTAAATTCAATTAGTATCCCAAATCCTTTTTTGTCATTTCAACAGTCTTCACAGCATCTTTACTTCAAAGTCACCCAAGAGAGTTGGGATCAACTTCTTCCAAACTTTTATTAATATTGATATTTGGACCTCTTCCCATGAATCATGAATGCTCTTAATGGCATCTAGAATTATGAATCATTTTTAAGAAGTTGTTCCATTTACTTTGCCAAGATCCATCAGAGAATCACTATCTGTGAGAGATATGGCTTTATGAAATGTATTTCTTAAATATTATAACTTGAAAGTCAAAATTGTTCTTTGATCCATGGACCGCAGAATGGATGTTCTGTTAGCAGGCATGAAATCATTAACCTCATTGTACATCTCCATCAGAGCTCTTAGATTAGCAGGTGCATTGTCAATAAGCAACAATATTCTGAAGGAAAATGAGAAGTAGGTTTTAACAGTGGGCTTAAAATGTTGAGTAAACCATGCTGTAAACAGATATGCTGTCATCTATGCTTTGTTGCTCCATTTATAAAGAACGGGTAGAATAGATTTAGTATAATTCTTAAAAGCCCTGGAAATTTTAGTAAATGCGCATTGGCTTCAACTCAAAAGCATCAGCTACATTAGCTCCTAACATGAGTCAGTATGTTCTTTGAAGCTTTGAAGCCAGTCACAGAATTTTCTCTCTACTATTAAAGCCCTAGATGGCATTTTCTTCCATATAAGGCTTTTTTGTCTACATTGAGAACCTGTTTTTTTTTTTTTTTTTTTTTTTTTTTTGTAACCAACTTCATTACTTATTTTAGCTAGATCTTCTGGATAACTTGAAGCAGCTTCTGCATCAGCACTTGCTGCTTCACCTTATATTTTCTTTTCTTTTCTTTTCTTTTTTTTAAGATTTTATTTATTTGACAGAGAGAAAGACAGCCAGAGAGGAAACACAAGCAGGGGGAGTGGGAGAGGGAGAAGTAGGCTTCCCGCGGAGCAGGGAGCCCGATGCGGGGCTTGATCCCAGGACCCCGGGACCATGACCTGAGCCGAAGGCAGATGCTTAACGACTGAACCACCCAGGCGCCCCTCACCTTATACTTTCATGTTATGGAGACAGCTTCTTCACTTAAACCTCATGAACCACCACCTGCTAGATTCTAACATTTCTTCTGCATTTTCCTCACTTCTCTCAGACTTTATAATTTGAAGAGAGTTAGGGACTATTTCTAGATTAGGCTTTGCTTTAGTGAAATGTTGTGGCTGGTTTGATCTTCTATCCACACCAATAAAACTCTCCATATCAGTACTAAGGCTATTTACTTCCTTTTTTAAAAAAAAGATTTTATTTATTTATTTGACAGAGAGAGACACAGCGAGAAAGGGAACACAAGCCGGGGGAGTGGGAGAGGGAGAAGCAGGCTTCCCATGGAGCAGGGAGCCTGTTGCGGGACTTGATCCCAGGACCCTGGGATCATGACCTGAGCCAAAGGCAGATATTTAATGACTCAGCCACCCAGGCAACTGGCTATTTACTTTCTTATAATGCAGTGTTCACTGGAGTAACACAGTTTCCTTCAGGAAACTTCTTTGCATTCACAACTTGGTTAAATGGCACAAGAAATCTAGTTTTCAGTCTGTCTTATCTTTTGATATGCCTTCTTAACTAAGCTTAATTATTTCTAGGTTTTTTTTTATTGAAGTATGGTTAACACATAATGTTACATAGTCTTTAGTGTACAACATAGTGATTTGGCAATTCTATACTCTATGCTATGCTCACCAAAGTGTAGCTGCCATCTGTCACTCTTATAATACTACTGACTATATTCCCTAGGCTGAAGCTTTCATTCCCCTGATTTATTCATTCCATAACTGGAAGCCTGTACCTCCCACTCCCTTTCACCCATTTTTCCCATCCCTCTCTCCTTTCTGGCAACCCCCAAATAGGCCTCTGTAATTATGGGTATGCTTATGCTTTTATCTTTTTTACTTTGGTTGTTCATTTATTTTGTTTTTTAGATTCCACATATAAATGAAATCATATGGTATCTATCTTCCTCTGTATGACTTATTTCACTTAGCACAATACTCTCTACATCCATCCATGTTGTCACAAATGACAAGATCTCATTCCTTTACATGGCTGAGAAATAGCCCATTATACATATGTGTGTATACATATGCACATACGTATACACAAACCACATCTTCTTTATCCATTAATCTATTCATGGGCACATGGATTGCTTCCATATCCTGATTATAGTAAATAATGCTGAAATAAACATAGGGGTGCATATATCTTTTCAAATTAGTGTTTTACTTTTCTTTGAATAAATACCCAGTAGTAGGATTACTGGATCATATGGTAGTTCTATTTTTAATTTTTGAAGACCTCCACACTCTTTTCCACAGTGGCTACACCAATTTATATTCCCACTATAAGTGCAAGAGTTCCTTTTTCTCCACATCTTTACCAGCCCTTGTTATATCTTGTCTTTTTGATACTAACCATTTTGATAGGTGTAAGGGAACATCTCATTGTGATTTTGATTTGCATTTTGCTGATGATTAGTGATGTTGAGCATCTTTTTATATGTCGGTTATTCATCTGTACATCTTCTTTGGAAACATGTCTATTCAGGTCCTCTGCCCACTTTTTAAACAGATTATTTTTTAATGTTATTATATAAGTTATTTATAAATTTTGGATATTGACCTCTTATTGGATATATCATCTGCAAATATCTTCTCCCATTCACTTGGTTGACTGTTTTGTTGACATCGTTTCCTTTTCTGCACAAAAGGTTTTTATTTTGGTGTAGTCTCAATAGTTTATTTTTGCTTTTGTTTCCCTTGCCTGAAGAGACATATCAAGGAAAATGCTGTTGAGCCCAATGTTAAAGATGCTGCTGCTTATGCTTTCTGTTAGGAGTTTTATGGCTTCCGGGCACCTGGGTGGCTCAGATGGTTGGGCATCTGCCTTCGGCTCTGGTAGTGATCCCAGCATCCTGGGATCGAATCCAGCGTCAGGGTCCCTGCTCCTTGGGAGACTGCTTCTCCCTCTGCCTCTCTCTCTCTGTCTCTCATGAATAGATAAGAAAATCTTTTTTTTAAAAAAGGAGTTTTATGGTTTCAGGTCTCCCATTTAGGTCTTTAATCTATTTTGAGTTTATTTTTGTGTATATGTGAGAAACTTATCCAGTTTCATTCTTATTCATATAGCCCTCCAGGTTTCCCAGCACCGTTTGTTAAAGATACTGTCTTTTCCCCACTGTATACTCTTGCCTCCTTTCTCATAGATTAATTGACCATATGAGCATGGATTTAGTTCTGGTCTCTCTTTTGTGTCCCACTGATCTATTTTTGTGCCAATACCATACTGTTTTATTATTATAACTTTGTAGCATATCTTGAAATCTGGGATTGTGATATGTCCAACTCTTTTCTTCTTTCTCAAGGTTGTTTTGGCTATTGAGTGTCTTTTGTCATTCCATACCAATTTTAAGAGTATTTTTTCTTGTTCTGTGAAAAATGCTGCTGGTATCTTGATAGGCATTTCACTGCATCTGTAGACTGTGTTAGGTAAGATGGATATTTTAACAATATTAATTCTTCCAATTCATGAACATGGAGTAT